GGCCATCCAGTCCAACCCCCTGCCATGCAGGAACTCCCAATCAATGCAAGGGACTAGATGGCCCTTGGGGTCTCTTCCAACTCCATGATTCTCTGATTCTCATGATGTGACCAAAGAATGACAGCCTGAATTTGATCATCTTGGCTTCCAGGGATATTTCAATCTTGATCTCTCCCAGGACCCATTTGTTTGTCTTCTTGGCCATCCACAGGATCCCCATTACTCTTCTCCATCACCACATTATCTCAGATAAATTGATCTTCTTCCTATCCACTTTCCTCACTGTCTGGCTCCCACATCCATACATGGTGATGGGGAATGCCATGGCTTGGATAATTCTAACTTTAGTGTTCGGTTGTGTACCTTTATTCTTTAGGATCTTGTCTAGTTCTTTCACGGCTGCCCTTCCCATTCCCAGTCTTCTTTTTATTTCTTGGCTGCAGTCTCCATTGTGATCCAGGTTTGATCCAAGGTACGGGAGCTATTACATTTTCTATTTCCTCATTGCCTAGGTTAAATTTATGTAGATTACATTTAGGTTACATCTAGATTACATTTTCTATTTCCTTATTGTCTAGGTTAAATTTATGTAGACCCTCCATGGTCATTACTTTGGTTTGGTTTGTTGTTGTGAAGTCGTAGGCTTTCATGGCCGGCATCCATAGTTTTTTTGTGGGTTTTTTCGGGCTGTGTGGCCATGTTCTAGAAGAGTTTCTTTCTGACGTTTCGCCAGCATCTGTGGCTAGCATCTTTTCTCTGAAGATGCTAGCCACAGATGCTGGCGAAACGTCAGAAAGAAACTCTTTCAGAACATGGCCACACAGCCCAAAAAAACCCACAAAAAAACCTATGTTTTGTTGTTGTTGAAAATTCAAAATGACCTGAATAGATTAGAAAGCTGGAGCAAAGCTAACAAAATGAATTTCAACACGGAGAGATATAAGGTACTGCACTTACTTAGGGCAAAAAAAATGAAATGCATAGATATAAGATGGGGGACACCTGGCTTAAAGAGATTAATATGTGAGAAAAGGGATCTAGGAGTCCTAGTAGAACACAAGTTGAACATGAGTCAACAGTGTGATGCAGCAGCTAAAAAGGCCAATGCAATTTTAGGCTGCATCAGTAGAAGTATAGTGTCTAGATCAAGGGAAGTAATAGTGCCACTCTATTCTGTTTTGGTCAGGCCTCGCCTGGAATAACCCTATGTCCAGTTCTGGGCACCACAATTCAAAAAGGATGTGGAGAAACTGGAGCGTGTCCAGAGGAGGGCGACTAAAATGGTGAAGGGTCTGGAAACCATGAAGCCCTCTGAGGAGAGACTTAGGGACCTGGGTATGTTTAGCCTGGAGAAGAGACAAGAGGTGATATGATAGCCCTGTTTAAATATTTGAAGGGAGGTCATATCAAGGAGGGAGCAATCTTGTGTTCTGCTGGTCCAGAGAATAAGACAAGGAACAATGGGTGCAAGCTCCAGGAAAAGAGGTTCCACCTCAACATTAGGAGGAACGTCCTGACAGTGAGAGCTGTTTGACAGTGGAACACACTCCTTTGGAGATTTTGGTGGAGTCTCCTTCTTTGGAGGTCTTTAAGCAGAGGCTGGGTGGCCATCTGGTAGGGATGCTTTGACATTGAGTTCCTGCATGGCAGAGGAAGGGGGTTGGACTGGATGGCCCTTGGGGTCTCTTCTGACTGTATGATTCTATGAACTGACAGTGTTGCAGTAATCCAAGTGTTGCATATTCATAAGTGCAATCACCTTGTAGTTGCTCGAATATATATTTTCATGATACTTGGACAAGGGAAGATCTGGGCCTTTTATCCAGTGGTGCTCCTGGTTTCTTCCACATCCCCCCATCTTTCTTGCGCCTTCATTTGTGGCAGCAGTGCCATTTTTGTGGCCCAAGAAGGATCCCTGATCAGAGTGTTTCTACACTGCTCGGAATCAATGTATTTGTTGTCATTGTTGTCGTTGTCGTTGTTGTCATTCAGACAAAGTATATAGCGTTGGGACAACATCTCAGAGCTGCTGGAGGAAATGTGTCACCAATCTTCTTGGTACATCTCTCAATCTCAGCCACATGTTGAAGATGATTTCCCCAACAATAGATGGCTTGTCTGTGTTATTTAGTCAAGAACAATTGCCATCTTAATTGCATATTCTCAAGATAACACCTGCATTGAATTACTGTAGTATTTATTTTAATTGGCTAATTGATTAATCATTTGAAAGAAGATCACTAATTAACTGAAGGGCCTTTAATTGGTTGACAGCTCGATTTTTTTAATTGTTGGAGAAATGTACAAAAAAGGAAGGGAAGAAAGGGGGAAGAGGAGAGCATGCACACACCCCACCGAAAATTTAATCTCAAATTTGGTGAATTATGGAATAAAGTCTGTGGTCTCCGTAGGATATTTTTGCTTTCAGCTGTTCAACTCTGTGACTTCCCAGGACTAGGGTTGCCAACTGACCAAACCATAGGTTTCAGCCTGCTGTCATGCTCGTAATCGTGGCTTGAGATGTGCAGGAACCAGGATGGAGACACCCCTTCCCATATGAGCCATGGACCAGTGTAGTGAGCATGGGCCTTTCACCAGGCATTTGGGTTCTAGAGTCCTTGTCAGTACCATGGCCAAGCGTTAGCACCTCTCCAGTAACATAAAAGGGGTTATAGTTTTTTG